GTGCGGCCCATCAGCTGCTGTGTCTCAGAGTGCCCCAGGTGCTTCCAAGCCGGCTGGGTCCCCGTGCACAGCGGCGCACTACGTGAGCGCTGCACGGGTGGCAGGAGATGGCCCTGCCTGGCTCCTGGCCCATGGCGTTTGTACAGCAGTGGCTGCCACTCACAGGACTGGCCGTGGGTGTTTGCCTTCTGCTGCCGTGACATCTTGAGGGTGCTTTGCCAGACACTGGCCACAAGCACCCAGGAAAGCTGCTGCCTCCTGAGAATCTGCTGCTTCCTCAGAAGCTGCTGCCTCCTCAGAGAGCTGCTCTCCAGGCAGTGGCCTCTGCAGGGAGGCTTTTATAGCCCCAAGGGTCACAACGTGGACCTGTGTCACAATGGCCTCTGGGACGATGTCACCCGATGTCACAAAGGCCAGGTGGGCACAGCCACCCCTTGTTCCAGAGGCCTGGTGGTTTCCATGGAGATGCTCCTGGGCACAAAGAGGTTTTTTTAGGCTTTTTCCCCTCGACTTGGCCTATGCATGTTCTTCTCTTTCCCACCTTGTGTGTTCCTCCTGTAGACATCCCTAAAAAAAAAACCACTGCCGTGTCGAAGTGTTATTCCCACCCTGCCTGCCATGTGACACAGTCCTTGGCCCCCAACCCAGGTAGAAAGATTATCACAATGGCAAAAAACCTGTTTGAATTTAAATTGGCCACTACTGTAAAAGACAATAAAATAGTTTGTTAAAAAAAATTAGGAATGCAGGAATGCCAAAGAAAATCACCTTTCTTTAATTGATGCGGGGACAAGGGGAATATGGTCACAAGGGACGAGGAAAAGGATGAGGTACAGAATGCCTTCTTTGCCTCAGCCTTCAATAGTCAGATGGGTTCTCTGGAGGACAAGCAGTCCCCTGAGCTGGCACACAGCAATCTTCCTCTGCAATCCTGGAGGAAGTCGTGAGTGACCTGCAGAGCCATTTAGACACTGACAAGTGTGTGGGCCTGGCCCAGAGTCGCCCAGGGCTACTGAGGGAGCCCAAGGAAGATCTGGCTAAGCCACTGTCCCATCGTTTATTGTTGTCATTGCTGCCCATTTGGGGAGGTCCCAGATGACTGGAGGTGTCAGTGTGAATGCCATGGCCAAGAAGGGCTACAGGGAAGAGGAGGGGAACTGTAGGCCTGTCGGCCTGACCTTGGGGCCCAGCAAGGCTCTGGAGCAGATCGTGGTGAGGGGGATCAGATGGTGCAGAGAGGAGAGCTGAGGAGTCAGGCCCTGGCAGTGTGGGTTTAGGAAAGCCAGGTCCTGACTGATCAAAGTGATGTCCTTTGAGGTGTGGGTGACCCACAACAGGGCTGAGGGAAAAG